TCAACTCTTTTAGAAATAATTTAAAAAGCTGGAACATCATCTTTTACCTTTGTTTCTTTTCAGAACTCAAAGAACGTCTCAAGCAGATTGAGGTCAGACCTGTAAGAGGAACCTGGAGATCCTGCTTAATCATGTTGACTCTCCTGTTTATCATGTCAGTGTTTTACCAAAGTAAGTCGGACCTTATTTGAGCTGATGTTTATCAGAAGTGCATCTTGTGCAGTTTAAGTATTTGCAGGGACGCAGGAAGGTGTTTCAAGCTGGTGGTGATTTTAGACAGCATATGTGTGACGTGAACGATGATGTCATGCTAAATTATTTATCTTTTTCCTTTTCATTTTTTTAATAGTTTACATCAAACATATTGGGCCATACTGCACTATAATGAGGCGAGAGATGACAATATATCATCACTCTGCTCTCTCATTCTGGACCAACTTATAATAAACAATTAAGTGACGACTAATCAGATTGTTCAAACGGCATCGTAACCGATTGTGTCGCCTACAGTCACGCAGCAAAGATGCACAATAAGTGGGAGATAAAACAGTTGATAAAAGGTTATTATGTTAGATCATTTTCACAAATTTTCTGCCTTTGAACCTCAACCTACATGTGTTGTAGTGACGTGTCCGAAAGGCACAAGAAGAGGGAAGCAGTTCGGCTCACTGCAATGAAGATACAGCGTTAATTTAAACAGATTTTGAAAATATATAAATAAAAATAGAAAAAACAAACTCCTCTCTAAAACTCAAAATTCAAATGAATAAAAACTTCAGATCTCTGTATTATTGTTGCAGTTCTGAAAGCGGGGGTGCTACAGCCCCCTTGGCACCCTCACTTCCCGCTTCCCTGGTCCTACACTCCCAAGGCACTGTGTTCAATCTTTTGTAACTTTGGAAACAGGGAAACTAGCGCCCTGGAACATAGAACATAGGACCCTGGGAATATAGGGTCTTGGGAACATGGGACCCTGGGAACATAGAAACCTGATGAAAGAGGGCCCTGAGAACATATGGCATTTGGGAACATAGGACTCTGGGAACATAGAACCCTGGGAACATAGGGCTCTAGGAACATAGGGCCTGGGAACATAGAACCCTGGTAAAAGATGAACCCTGCAAACATATGGGCATGGGAACATAGGACCCTGGGATCATAGAACCCAGGGAACACATAAATCCTAGGTACATAGGTCCTTGGGAACATAAGGGCTTGGGAACATATAGCCTGGTGAAAGATGAACCCTGCAAACATATGGACATGGGAACATATGAAATTGGGAACATAGAAACGTGGGGGCAGTCATGGGCTGGATGTTATGGAATCATCCTTGCGACCAGAAGTTCCCCTGAACAAGGCAGCCAACCCCCAACTGCTCCCCAGGTGCTGCATATAGGGCTGCCCACCGCTCCGGGCAAGTGTGCTCACTGCCCCTTAGTGTGTGTTCACTAGTGTGTATGTGGTGTTTCACTGTACAGATGGGTTAAATGTGGAGGTGAAATTTCCCCGTTGTGGGATTAATAAGGGTCACTTAATCTTAATCTTAGATCCCTGAGAACATAGGTCCTTGGGAACATATGGGCTTGGGAACATAGAACCCTGGTAAAAGAGTGCCTTAAGCATATATGGACTTGGCAACATAGGACCCTGGGAATATAGAGCCTTGGAAGCATAGGACTCTGGGAATATAGGGCCCTGGGAACATAGAGCCTTGGAAGCATAGGACTCTGGGAATATAGGGCCCAGGAAAGATATACACGATCTGTAAATGTGTGTGGTGCCCTTCCTCCAGTCAAGTCAAGTGAAAGTTTATTCATATAGTGCTGTTTATGACAGTTAGAACCCTATAATGATGATCTCTTAGTGTGAATATGAAAAGAGCTCAGTGTGTTGTGAGGTGGTGAAGCAATATCTGTGATTTATTAGTATTAGTAGAGTCTGTGCAGCACCAGTATCATCAGGAGGGTCAGTGCATGCAGGTGAGGCTTTCTGCACAGCATGGTGGTCAAACCGGTCCAGAAGGCGGGCAAGCAGTGGGCACCTGATCAAGGCAGATGAATCAACACCATCAGACCGCACAGTATGGGCAGCTGTTCAGCACGGCAAAGAGACAGACAGACAGTTAGTTCTATTTGGGACAACTAAGAACAGTCACAGAGTGCAGCAGAGACTCCAGCAGGTCGAGCTATAACAGCCTCACTAAAAGAGAGAGCCTGAAAGGTAACAACAACGAGAGGGCTCCCTGAGATGTCGGCGCCCCTGCGCTCCACCGTCAACAAAACTGAGTGAGCGTGTGAGACATTTGCAGTTTACAATAACACTCTATGTCAATAACCCTCTGGGGTCTCTGGGTTTTCTTGATTTTTTAAAGTTTCCAAGTTTTTACAGCTGCAGCAACTTCAGCAAAAACTTCAGTAAACTCTCCGCACGCCATTTCACATGTGACTCCCATGTGGACTGAATGAAGGGTTTCTGGCGTGATGGTCAGTCCTTAGTGATTTCCTGAGTGTCCATCGGTCAGTTTCACACAGAATGTAGACGGACACAGGAATCCACCACTTCCACACAGTGAGAGGCAGATGACGTGTATCTCAGCCCCTCTTCATAGGCTCATAACTCCAGATGTGAGTCTCGTATGATCTCGTGATAAGATGGAATGGAAAGGGCGACCTACAGATTCAGGAAGTGTTTGAACTGGATTTCTGAGCTGGATCATCACAAAGATACAGACACAGATATAGAAACCCCTAGAGGGTTAACCCACAGGTCTACCTCTTTTATCTAAAGGAACAAGCTAGACATCAAGCTCGACTAAAGAAGTAGGTTTTTAGCTTAGACTTAAAGACTGAGGCTGTGTCTGAGTCCCGAACACTGACTGGAAGGTTATTTCAAAGTTGGGGGGCTTTGGATGAAAAGGTTTTACCCCCTGATGCAACTTTATTAATTCTAGGTAGTAACAGAAAGCCAGCATGTTGTGAACAAAGCAGGCATGAGGGTTCATAATAAGAGACAAGTTGTTTAGAGCTTTACATGTCAGTAGCAGAATTCTGTACTCACAAAATCAAACCAGTCATTGAGTTGCATTCAAGACACATGGAAATCTGAAAAAGCCAGGTGTAAACATCTCACTGTTAACTTATGATCAGGTCACTCAAGATGGATGTTAATACCAGGTGTGAACAGGGCCTCAGTGTCTGCATTGTAAGTTACAAATGACCAAATTTGATTTGTATGGTCAGACTGTAGTTGCATTTACATATGCTGATAAGGGTATGCAAAAGTAGGCAAAAGTATGACTTCACTCTAAATGTTATGAATCGCTGCGTAAATATGATTTGAATTGGCTTTGAAACAATACACAAATGGAAAAAGCTATATTTCACATGCCTTTTTGCTGTTCAGACTGCAGAAAATCTAAGGCCCAATCCCATTTCACCCCTCACCCCTAGCCCTCTGTTTTGCACATTCACCCCTAGGTGTAGGGAGTCCCAATTTTTGCTGAGATGGAGGGGTAGGGCAAAGTGTTAGGGCTACATGGCCCTCTAAACAGAGGTTTTTCAGAGACCCCAAAGAGAGTGATATGAGAAAAAAAAAAGAAAAACTGGCAAGATGGCTGAACAAGAGACCAAAGAAACCCACAAGATATCTAACAAAATTATCTGTTTCACCTTAAACAGTCCAGCAGTTCTGATGCCTGAAGCTCCAGAATGTAACTGCTGTACCATTTAAGGTGGAACGGGAAAATTCAAACAAGAAGTTGGCAATTAGCTGACTTCGGCTCCATATCACCAAAGAATTAGGGGTGGGTGATAATAAATTAATGCCCCCCTCTTTGAAGTCATATGATGCCCTAAATGTAACTAAAGCCCAGCAGTGAGGAGCTGAACTTTACCCTCCTCTGCTGTCACTGCAGACTGGCAGGGTCGCCTACAGAGCAGCGCTGGTAGCTGTTAATGAAGTGATGCTCTTTTTATTTGAGGGTCCCATTTCAGAGGGAAGATTTCAACCACTACCCCCTTTAGCTCAGTTCCAAGGGGCAAAGTGACACTCGAAAACAAGGGGTAGGGGATAAGAATAAGAAATGGGATTGGGCCTTTTTGTTGAAATCAGATACGCCAAAAAATCTGATTTGAGCTGCCTGTCTGAACAAAGCCCATGAGTTGAAAGTATTGGAGTGATAAACTGTGAAATGCTGTTCTGTAGTTTAGAGACTGAGGAGTACACCAGTTACCATTTGTTTGTTTTACAGGCCATGCTGTGGTGAACTACGGTAGGGACTTTGTGACAGCCTTTCCAGAAAACATTGCCTACTACTATATATCCAATGTCACCAACGTCCTCAAAATCACTGCCCTCCACGATAACACATACTTCAGCGTCACCTTCAATGGCACAAGCGTAGACAAGGGGACTCTGAGTGCAGGTCAGATGAAAACTGTGTCCCTTCCCGATGGAGTGGAGGAGCATCAACTCAACCGCTCCTCAAAGTCCGTCAGAATCACCAGCAACAATGACATCATGGTGTTTTCTATTAGCAGGAGGGGTGACAGCATTCAAACCAACGTTGTTCAACCTGTAGATAATTTAGGCAAAGAGTATCTGATTCCTTTCCCCAATTTTACAGAAATCACCTTAATCTTTAACTACTATGATGTATCAAACCAGACCGACTCTTCAGGTTCTTCTAGTCCATCTGAAACCTACAACTTCCTCAGGCTTCTCATTATCAATGTAGAAGACAAGGATAACACTGTTACCATCAAACTGAAACAGTCCAAAGATACTACCTTCAAGCTTGGTCCCTTTGAGCTCATCCAGATGCAGGGCAATGACTCTTTGGTGAAGGTCACCGCTAGCGCTAACATTTCTGTGTTGCTAACCCATCCTTGCTTGGACACGTACTTATGCAGGTGCTCCATGGTCGTCCATCAGCTTAGACCCGCAAACCTCCTGGGAAACAGTTTCCTCGTGCCTCCCTTTTACATCACCAACCAGTCCCGAATGCTCTTAACTTCAGACCAGTCCATTCAGCTCAAGTATGGTTCTCCACCACTTTATGGCTCTCAGACGTTGGATTCTGGGAGCTCGAATTTAAGCTTCTACCAGCTTCTAAAGGACGGGTTCTCCAACATCACAACCTCACAGCCCGTGTCCCTCAGGCTTATCCGCACTACTAGTTTGATAGATCTCATCCCAGTCTCAATGTTCTCTGCCTGCTACCTGGTACACAGCACCTCAACCATCAAATCTCTGGCTGTGATCATTGTGGAAACGGCTGGAGTACAAGATCTGCGCTTGAACAGTGGACAGTTCAACTCAACAGGGAAATGGAACGTCATAAATGGTACAAAATACTCCTGGGCTGCTGTGGACCTTTATCCTTTGATGTCACAAATAATCTGGCATCCCTCCTCAAAGATTGCCGTGTATGTCTTTGAGAGAATGGGGTCATGGGCTCCTTATGGAGGTCCAGCTATCTCTATAAACGAAGAACCAGGTAAAACATTAACAGCTGATATTATGGTTATTGTCAGAACTCTGATCTTGTGTATAAAGGAGTTTAAACCCGTCAGTTAAATAATGACTCAGTAGGTGGAAAAATGGCTACAAAAGGCCAATTTGAGTAAACAGGTATCAGGTCCAAAAACGTGTCAAGCTCTAAGTTGCCTTTAGAATTGCAGTGGAACCTTTTACTTCCTACGTAGCAGTGGAAATCTACTGCAGTGGAAAGCTTTCTTTTGTGCTACATTCAGAGGTGTTTACAGTAGCCTAAACACACATTCCATTAAAAATGTCTTGGTTACTAGTCAAGGTGTGTTTTTGGGGGGTCCCATGTCGGTGGACTGCTAATTCACTCGCCATAGCGTCACTGATGCTTCAGTGGCAACAAAATGTTCGGGTCAACAATTCAACAATTCCTCTTTTGGAAATGCTCTTTTCTAGACCGGTAATGCAGTTGTCTTTGGTTTGAGAAATCTCTTGGGAAATTTACAGCATACTGTAAAGTTTTTCAGTGATATCCCGGTGTGAAGCCCAATCTCACATCCCCATCCTGATTTCCCTTCCCAAATATCCTCGGCCAGAGTTAGCAAGTTAGCACATTTTCATTATCATGCAAGCCAGTACTGTTAACTGTAAAACATGTCACTGTTTTACTTCAGTTTTGTGCTAGCTTTGTTGTGTTCGTTAACAGCGCCACCCTGAGGCAGAGCAGTGCTGCCGCTCTAGTTAGTTAAGAACACCAAAGACAGAAGTTCAACATTTTGTGTGTGAAGCAGCTAAACAATGAGCTTTTTCTGAATTTGTATTTGAACATCTATTTTTCAGCATAACATAATAATAATTCTGTTTTCAGGGACCCCCAGAATTTTGATCTTGAGACATTTAGGGCGTCCAAGCGACCTGGACCCCCCCAAGTCTGCCTGTGTTTCACCTTGGTACTTGGACAAAAGTAGCAGCTTTATAATTGTACTGTACTATTAGTATTGAGTAACTTCTAAAACTGTAGCGGAACTTCTTGAATAGAAGTTTTCTTGTAGTGCTGTCTTATAGTAATCTAGAATACTAGATCCTGTATCTTGTAGCAGTGTCTAAATTTACTAAGAGACTCTTGGAATCCTGTGGAAATTCCAGTAGTATTATTATACAGGGAGATTCACTGGAAAGAGGCCCCGAATATTCTGTAATAACTCTCTCTAGGACAAAGCAATCTGAACGAAACAACATGCAATGTCCTCCTCAGTATATGAAGCTTCAAACAAGCCGGAATGCCCCTGCGTCAGAGCGATGAGGTAGGCGCCGGACAGCTGTCACGGCGTTTAACCTCCATTTGCAACTTCCGGGTGCAAACCCCCATTCCCCTTCATGTGTCTGGCAGAAAACAGAGATCACTTCCAGCATCGCATGTAATGCAATCGATTACACATACGTCAAGGTACGTGGCATATTTGTTTGGTTTAGGTTGCTTCATCCTAACGGGAGTTACAACAGAATATTCGTGGCCTCTTCTGAGTGAACCTCTCTGTAGATCTTTTTAGAAGAGGGTAAGGAGGAAACTGTAGGGCAAAAGAAAAATACATGTAATTTTTGGCCAAACTGTTGCTCTAAATATCTGTTTGCTTGCAGACCCCAATGGCTGTATGGTGACTCCAGCAGTGTTGGACGTTGGTAATCTGTCAATAAGCTGGCAAGCGTCTCGTCAGTACTGTGTGAAGAGAGGTGGTCAGCTGGCTGGCCCCACTTGGATCGGGGCCCATCATTCCATGGCCCAGAAGCTGACAGAGATTGGAGCTAGTGGTCAGGCGTGGATTGGCCTGCGGCGCAGCCTACTGACCACAGAGTGGTACTGGCAGAGCGGACGAAGCTTCAGCTTCACCAACTGGGAAAGAGGCCAGCCGGTTAGTCTTGAGAAAGGCATGTGTGCTTCTGTTCGGATGGAGCCGAACGGGAACTACACATGGAGCAGCGTGCGGTGCTGCTCCTCTCTGAGGCCTATGTGTTACATTCCACCACGCTACTTCAGTCTCACCAACCCGTTTGCCTGAGAACCACAAGCACCCGCTAACGCTTCACATTAGCATATAGTTCTGTTTGCTTTTGCTCTTTTGAAAAAAAGTCCCTCATTAAATAAATAGTTTAGTGCAAAAACGAATTTACACAATTTAGGCATGCAGTTAGCATGATGCTAATTGATGCAGTATAAGATTCAATTACTTGTTTGCTACATTAGTCTAATAGCTCCAGTGCTAAAATGTGTCTTGGCTTATCGAAGGGGAAGGTTTGTGTAGGTAGATTTGGGAGCTGCTCAAAGCAAACACTGGACTGGACAGCCTCCTGGTCAGCAGGAAAATACTTGGGATTTGGATTCTGCTCTCCAGAGATACGCTAGACTCTAACTAGCCTGTATATAACTATGGGCTTTAGGCTGTTAAAGAGGAGTCTTGGGACCAGAGGAGGAAAAAGAGGAGGAGGTGCTGAGAGACATAAAGGCCCAAGGAGGAAGAAGAAGGTTGAACAACACCAGGGCAGACAGGTGGAGGAGAAGAGTGAGAACTTATCCATAGTGGTCATTTTAATAGATGTCACTGAAAAGTTATGTTTATGGAGCGTCTTTCTGAACGTCAAGTCAAAGTTTATTTATATAGCACTTTTTACAACAGGTGTTGTCACAAACCAGCTTTACAGAAAATCCAGGTCAGGACCACCATGAGCGTCGCCAATGGCAACAGTGGCAAGGAAAAACTCCCTAAGAGCTAGAGGAAGAAACCCTGAGAGGAACCAAGACTCAGAAGGGGAAACCCATCCTCCTCTGGTCGACACCAGATAGCAAATCTAATCATCTCTGATACTAAGGAGTCCATGTGAATGTCAAATAGAGCAATAGAACCATGGTTCTCAACTCCAGTTCTAGGATTCCTCCCTGAAAGATTTCAACTGTTCTTCTCCTGAACATAACTAGGGCTGAAAACAAAAGCTAGAAGTCTGTAGGAATTGTCCTAAATGCAGTTCTTAAAGTAGCTTATTCAAAAAGGGATTTCTGGTGTGTGTTTATTTTACAACAAAACAAAGATATTCATTCTCAAAAGGGGCTTATTTGCCAAGATGAAAAATGTAACCATCACTACATCTGTTGTAAACATGCCTACTTGCCTCATATAGTGGTGCCACAGTAGACTCCAGAGTGAGATTTCCCAGGTTTCCCTGTTGATGATGGATCTTGAAGGTGGGAGTTGGACGACTGAGGTACGAGTTACCTCAGTGCCTGCTAGGTTATAAATCAGTGGCTAGGCTAGCAGGCATGAGTGCCTGACACCATGAAGATTCCCAATGGATATATTTGCGTAACACATTCTGGATCTTGTTGTGTACATTAAAGGTGCAGTGTGTAAGATTTAGTGGCATCTAGTGGTGAGGTTGCAGATTGCAACCAGCCGAACCCCCTCCCTCACCCCTCCCTTTCCAAGCGTGAAGTAGAAACTTCGATGGCCGTCAGGTTTTCTGCCGTCGCCTGTCTTGATTTCATTTTGCTTCTTCATGTTTTCTCTTCTTTGACCGTGAAGATTCACCCTCCCTCACTTTGTCTTGTGCTAAATGATAAGTTTGAGCCTTCATTTGTCAAAATGAAAAACTTCAAAACTTCTCACAGCACAGAATGGTCAGCCAGTGCTGACAGCAACCACTGATTCTTCTTCTTTCTGCGTCTTTCAGCCGGAGCTACAGCGCCACCAAATTCAAGCTGCTGCTTCAGCCTAAAAATGCAAATGGCGCCCTCTGGAGGCAGTGTTTGGTTTGTCCATTCTGGGTTACTGTAGAAACAAGGCGGCCTCTGTTGAAGAGAAGCTGCACCCTATGTAGATATGAAGGGCTCATTCTAGGATAATGAAACAATGATTCATAGTTATAGCTGATTATATACTAATGAACTCATGGTTTTGTTTATTATTATTCCATTTCTGCTAATAAATCCCCCCAAATCTTACACACTGCAATGATTAATTTGGGCTTTTTTCCCAGAAATAAATTTATTTTATTTTGATCAATTTGTTCTAAGCATTTTAAAACTTGTGTAAAATAATCTAAATGTAAAAATATAAATAAAAACAAAAACAGCTGTATTTTAGTTTGAAATAAAACACTGGCACATATACTAATCACTGAATGATGTCTCTGCTTTTGGCTTCGTGGTGAAGGATCTGTGGATCTTTATGCTGTAGGGCTGTAAATCTCTGTATTGTGCAGAGTCTCATATTTCACCACAATTCAATTTGATTATTTTGGTACGATTCCGAAGGATATTTTTAAAAGGGCACACAATGTCATTGATACTAAGCACCACTCTTATGCCGTGTCTAATCAACTACAGTGTGAATAGCACCATCTTGTGGAGAATTTTCAGCCTGCTGAAAGAGAGTGAGTGAGGGAGTGAGGAATTGGGTGTAATCAATCAAGTGAGGGAGTGAGAAAATGAGGGAAGATGTGAATGAGGGAGGGAGTAGGTGAAGAACTGTGGGCCTGATTAAGGGAGTAAGTAAGTGAGGAAGCGAGGTAGGGAAGAAGGGAGTGATTGAAAGAGGGAGGTCGTGAGGGAGTGAATAAGGGAGTAAGGAAGTGAAGGAGGGAAGGGTGGATTTAGTGAGGACATTAGTGAGGAAGGGAGGTAGTGAATAAGGAAGTGAATGAGTGGACAGGGAGTGAATAATTGAGTGAGGAAGTGAGAAAGGGAAGGATGGAATAGCACCACCTTGTGGAGAATGTTCAGTCTGCTAAAGGAGAGAGAATGAGGAATTGAGGGTGAGTGAGTGAATGAGGGAGGGAGGGAGTGAGAAAGTAAGGGAAGACTTGAATAAAGGAGTGAGTCAGTAAAGAAATGTGGGACAGTGAGGGAGGAAGTGAGGGAGATGGTGAGAGTAGAGAGGGAGTGACTAAGGGAGTAAGGAAGTGAAGGAGGGAAGGGTGGAGTTAGTGAGGACATTAGTGAGTAAGTGAATAAGGAAGTGAATGAGGGAGTAGGTGAGTGAGTAAGTGAATGAGTGAGTGAGGGAGGGAGTGAATTAGGAAGTGTAAGAGGGAGGGAGTGAGGAAGGGATGGAGTGAATTAGAAAGTGAATGAGGGAGAGAGTGAGGAAGGAAGGGAGTAAATCAGGGAGTGAATGAGGGAGTGAATGAGGAAGGGAGGGAGTGAAAGAGGAGTGAGGGGTTAAAAACAGACTAAGAAGTTTATTTTGAGCCCAAACTTCTCTGAATCTTATAATAATTCTATCATTACCCAATCAAAGCCGTCACCTTCAGCTGGATGATGATGCGTTTTTGGTAAGTTTCTCCAGAACGTTTTCACATCAAACCACTCAGAACGACTTTCTTTATCTCGTAAACATTTAATTATACAGGGATTTTGAGGAATCATTTGACTTTTTTTTTTAACTCCACAATAAAAGCTCCAAGATCTGTAGTTTTGTTTTGAGCGACTGTAAAAGCAGCTGATTTGTTTTCAAGTCACCCGAATCACTTTGTCTCCAAGGCTCTGGTGTTTGCAGTGTGTTATGCAAAAGTGAGTGAAAATAGTGATGTTTGAATGTCAAATCCGTGTGTGTGTGTGTGTGTGTGTGTGTGTGTGTGTGTGTGAGCTGAAGAGTAAAGATCTGTCACACTGATTCTGTCTGGAGGGCTCGAGTGTGATGGTCTTTTCCACCAGGTAAGGACTTATTATTATTTCTTATTAACTCATATATAGGAAGACCTTCAGTTTATTCATGATTAATACAGTATCAGAGTTTTTACTGAATCAGAGTCAGACAGTTCAATAATCAAGACTCAAAAGGCAAAAGTCAGAGACCACCTATAATCTCCAGTTAACAACGGCCAGTCAGTACAAGTTATTCATTTTTAGGAGATATTTGTAAATATGTTAGATATAAAATAATCTACTTTCACAAGAAAAGAGAAAGTCAAATGAAACAACAGGAGTTTCCAAAACTGGAGTTCAAAAACTGATTAAACACTACAGAGAATATGGGGCTCCTAACAACCACCTGGAAGAGCTGGTCGACCCCAAAACATCCCCCATCAGATAAACAGCACTTAAAGCTTTCATCTCTGAGAGAGAGGAGAAAATCAAGCTGATCAGATCTGAAAACATCCACAGGTGTTTCTGTCCATCCTTCCACTGTGAGAAGACGACTCAGCGCTGTGGGTCTGAAAGGATGTGTAGCTGATCAAGAAGAACCTCACTGAGAAAAGGAGACGGACACATCAAACAAAGAAGCTGAACGATGGACTGACCACCCCAGAGTCCAGACCTCAACACCACTGAATGTGTTTGATTACTTCAGAAAATGATCAACCAGCTTCTAAGACTGAGCTTTGGAGGTGTGTCTGCAGATTCTTTGAGGAGCTGAAAGTGAGTCTCCTGAAATAAGTGGAAGCTGGAATAAAGGAGAAGAGTGACTCACTCAACTCTCACACTGATATTAGATTTAGTTGAGGCTTCTGGGTAATTTTCTGTTATGTTTTTGCTTTTCCCATGATGCTCAGAAGTGAATAACTTGTACTTAAAAACCATCTTAACTGGAAATGAAATACATGAAAGGTGGTCACAATACAGTACATGTGTACAAATAACATTGTGTAGATCTGATTAATTTCAAATCAACAATATATGAGATATTTTAGCCAATTCGCAAAAATGAACAATTTTCACATCGATTTTTTCCTCATTGTTTATTTAGGGTCCAAATACAGTCAAAGGCAGCAGCTCATGCATGAAATACATGCAAACCATCTCTGGCTTTAGCAAATGAACCCAAATCCCATGTCATGTGTAGAGTATCCTGACGCCATCCTCTAGTAAAAGTATTGTTATTTAAGTGAAATAATGACTGCAGTAAAACGAATAGTACTCTATAAAACATCTTCAATAGAAATGCAAGAGTAGCAGCTCAAAAAACTAGCTGTATTAAGTACTAAGCAGCTTATAGAACTGCAGTGGAACCTCTTAGAACATCCAGCATCTATCAGTACAGGAACTATGAGGCTGAAATTAGCTTCTTATTAGAATGATACATTCCACCTTAAATGGTACAGCTGTTACATTAGTATCTTGGTATTTCT